ATGTTTTCTTGACAAGCCTTTATGTACGACTTGGATGTTGATGTGGGTTTTATTTATTACTTATTTTTCTAACTCCGTCGTAGTGTGGATGAGGTTTAACTGTTGCCCTGAGTCATTTGAAGGGACTGTGTCGTCTAACTGGCCCACAGCGACATAAGAAAAACATCAAGTCGTTCTTAGGAGAAGAAAAAGTAGCTGAATTCTTCGCTAAGCCACCACTTGTTGCTTATCTATCCCATACAGTCAGTGTTTCTCTGTGTGTGTTCGAGTACATCACAGTGTTTAATGTTGGTAAAGAGTGAGCAGATGAGGCAGTCCCATGGGAAAGAGTGACCTCAGAGGTCTCATATTCACCTTAGAGCTCCATCTACTCCCTTGTAAGTGTTAAATCCTGCCTTTGTCTCTGACAGCTCCTCTGTTTGTTTATCTTCTCTCCCTTATTCCTCCTTTGCTCCATCATAGACTATGTTTCTCTTTCTGTTATTCCGCCACCTTTGATGCGTCCCACCAATCTTTAATCCTTTCAGCTAACACAACATGATGCGCGGAGCTGAAAGGGTGTACATCTGTGCGGTGTTTTCAGGAAGGTTTAAACCCAGTTACAACTGTGTAAGACTGATGCTCCCCTTCTGTCCAAAGTTATGAATATTTAAACTGTCACAGAACCAACCTCGGACTCTCAGCATCAATGGATAAGTCAGCCTGCCACCAACAGTGGATGAGAAGCTGTTTATTCAAATCTAGTCACAGGGATGTGAAGCCCAGCTGCTATTGGCCAGATCATCCAGGCAGAGCTGAAAAGATGCTGCTCAGTCAGTTTCTCTTTTAACTTTAGCACCATGTTTATCTGAGGGTGTCGTGGAAAAACTTTCTCATGAGTGTCAGATGTTATCGTATCGTATCGCTGAGAGTGTCTTAACATAACCATAAACATTGTGCTTTAGTTTCCAGGAGCAGATATTTTAGGAAAAATAAATAAGACACATTGTGATGGAGTACAGTAATTGAACATTTGGTGATTTAATAATATATTATAAAATGTACTACAACTTTTTTGTTCAAGTTGAAACATTTTTAACTCATACTGATGTATCTTCATCTCAATGTGCATCATCCAGCGCAAATGTGTCTATTTGTGTCTTTGCACTGACGTTAAATGCAGTTGCAGTGCCTCTAAAGTTTGTTTGACTTAAGTCTGAACGATATCTTTGAAAAGAAATGTGTTCATCTCTCAAGAGTTCAGAGCACTGAGGCTGCTCTGCTTGGTTTACAGTGAAATAACACCGTTCTAAGATGCTATTTGTTCATTGCGTAATTGTGAGCTCCTGACCAGCGAAGCTTGGAATTCGATGTTCCTGCACATCTGACTTATTAAGGAGAGATCATTGTTGCAATTTGCACTAAAGAGAGGGAATCATGAGGGAGAGGGAGGTCTAATTATTTTTGCAACATGATACATTGTGATCCATGTTAACTGCATTTTGCACTGACAAATGGTGCTCGGGCGGCTCTGGGGAAAAGATACCTGAGGTAAAGCAGATGTTCTAAGACAAATAATCCTACAACTTATCCCTTTATGTGCCATCAAACTGTTTTGTTAATTCTCAAAGCAGCTGGTTTGCCGAAATCAGAGGTGAAGGTGACGGGAGACTGCAGATGGAGCACATGCAGAACTTAACTATCAGACTTTCTCAATGATTTAGTGGAGTTTGGATTATTTTGTGTTACTCCTCACTCTGTATGATATCATTAATCCGTAATGTTCAGTCCATTCTTTACCTTCTCTTGTTGTATCTGTTTTTCTTCATCCAGGCATGTGCACTTCTACTTCAGTTTCTTTCTTCATTTTCCAGAACAGTTTTCAACATCCCTGGCAGGAATGAATCAGACATGTGGCATTCAGCTACACAAACTGCGGTACAAAGCCTACTGTAGCTAGCTGGCAAAAAGGACTAAAAACTAAAGAGAATAAAACCTTCAGGTTGAGAGACAGTGAATTTGTTTATTGCAACTGCACTGAATTGTGTACCATCAAGTCTTCTGTAAGGTGATTACTAACGTCCTTTACAGTGGATTTTTCTGTGGATGCAAAATGTTTATTTGATGTTTGAGTAATGGTATTTACAGTTATGTTTTTTGTTTGTTTTTTTAAAGCTGAAAACTGCCTAACATCACAAACTTGTGAAGCTGGGCTGGAAATCTCACAGCATGAAAAAATACCAACAACATTTTAACACTAAACTGCGGCAAAAGACAAAAATATCACTGTATGTAGCAGTTACGTCAGGGAAAACGGAAATACTAAAAATAACAAATACTTAGATTTACTTCACTTTTTGAGCTGCGTACTTACATTATCCCAAGTGTTTCCAACTATTTACAAACAAGAAGTACTTTTAATCAGTGTCATTTTGTCGCCCATCAATGACGTCATACCTCCTGTAATTATGGGTCTGCGTGGCGGTTGCCTGCCAAAAATTGAAATTGAAAACATTGTATTTTATCTATTTGTAAGCCACATACACTTTTTACACCTTGGTCGGTTTCAAGTATATATTTTAACCAGATGAAGGATTTTAAGTTTTATTTTTCGTACGTCTGGGTCTTACATTATCTGAAAAAAGAGACAGGCAAATGTTCAGGCAGCTCAGCTCCCGTCCTGTGATTTGTCCGCGAAAAAATGCTCCACAAATCTCTGATTTTTGAAGTGAAACTGCTTTATTCGTTTACCGGCTTTAATCCCGCGGTACGATGTTATGGAGAGGAGGACATTTCTGCGGGTAATTCCACCGTCGGTAAAAACCCGCTGAACGTCTGGGTTATACGTTATTAAAGAAACAAAAGGTAAGCAGTCTCAGTTTCCAGTTACTCCCGGTCAGCCTGAGAGAGTCCGCGAATCCTTGTTGTTTGAGGTGAAACTGCTTTATGGGTGTTTCTACCGGTTTTAATCCCCCGGTTCGTTTGTTATGAGTTGAACAAATCTGATAAATTTAAATCACCATTCAAATCTGAACGGTGTGTGTTTACAGGTGTGTGTGATGGCTTTTACAGTTATAAGTGTCACAGCGGTGATGATACAATGATATCATGGCTGATCCTGTTGTTGTGCGTGCACTGCCACACTGTCATGGTTAACTGGGACACTTGAACATAGCAGAGCCATGGTTAATGTTATTATTAACACTTGAGCTTTGACACGTAAAAATGTCTGCTGGGAAAAAGGCCTCTAAACGCATAAGGGAGTACACCAATTACATGCACAAAATATCCCACATGTCTTAATTGGGAAATGCTAAATTCAGAATATCCAAATATGATACTGGATGCTGTTTACATGACCTGTATGAAATTCCAAATATTGTGAAATGACTTGGATGATGACAAACAGTTCTGATAGTGTAAAGTCTCACACACAGATGTTAACACGTCTTCTCAGGACTGAGTGGATGTGTTCAGACTGATGACTGTAGAGCAGCTTTTAGGAATGTACATGGTAATATGTCAAACAGTGATGGATTTAAACGTGTAAAGGAATGTCAAGGTTTCATCTTCTTTTTCTAATATGTTTGAGGCTCCCTCCTCTTATTACTCACCTGTACACAGACTGTATCTCTGCTGTGTTGCACCGGATGACCTCTTCCTCTTTGAAACGTCCTACAAAACGCTGAAGGACTCTGAATAATTCAATTCCAGTAATGAGACGAATAAACAAATGCGTGCATGAATATTCAGAGATTTAGTTCATATCGTTCCAGCTTCAAAAGCCTTTGGAAAACATTGCAACAGCATGCACAATCTGCTATGCAGCTGCTACCTTTTCCTAAAGTGTACCGGCCTTTACTCATCACTGGCTGCTTTCTGCTATGGCACAACTTTTTTTTGTGTGTGTGCACACGTCCTTGGCGGCTGTTTACACGCAGATTTTTTGCAAAAGATAACAATTCCAGATGCAGTATTTTGTGGATATCGCCCTATTTTTTTTATACAGGTTAGAAAATAGAAAAGTGATCAGTGTCTGTAATATATCTTTCCTCTTTTTGGACGTACAGGTGCAAAAGTCATCACTGTTTGGTGACATCGTGTTTGTGCTTGAAAAGAAGCTCGTTTCCAACCAGCTGATGTATGAAGGATTGGTGTGATGGCTGTTGTTGTGATCTGAGCAACATCCAGCAGGAGAGAGAAGCTCTGGACAAGTTTGTTTCATCAGGGCACAAACTCCACTGTACCGTAAAATATTAAGATTATATAAAACATGTTTATTTTATTAATTTAATCTAATTAAAAGTCATTGACAACCAAATTGTTGATTTTGTTTAAGTCTTTATCAGATGGACGTATTCATAAAATTATTAGGCTAAAGAGCCTCACATGGACAAAGGAGTAATAATGAGGTTCAGAGTAAAGGTATTAAAAAGTCAAAAGCACCAAATACCTGATATTTTTATTTCCTGGTTGACTATTTCCTGAATCCAGACAGCAGATATTGATAGTTTTCATATCGTTCAAAATCATAAAATTATCTCAGAGCCAAGATTCCTGAAATGTAGGTGTTCTAAAATTCATTTATTCACGGATATTACCTTCTTTCTTATGATAGAAAAAAACCTTTTCGGCCATGGCCAGATATAGTCTGAGCAATGGTGTGGTTCTGTCAAAATTATAATAATCATGATAAAGTCTTTTTTCAGGTTAGTATTTGTCTTTTTAAAGCTAAACATTGGCTACATTAAGGCTATGTCTCATTATGTCACAAAAAAGACCAATTCTGAAATTGTTTAAAGGTTTTTCAGCTATTCTGTGAGGAAATACTGCTGAGGGAAGTTTTTGATGCAGGCCTAATGATCTTTTTCTCTGTTTGCCTGTTGATTTTCATTGGTGCTGCTTTAAATCTCATCAACACGTTCTCCTTGGTCTAAAGATTAAAAAAAAAAAAAGAGACATCACCAAAGACTTTTCCCCTTTTTCAATTAATCATCTTTATTTTACATTTCAAACCCCAACATAATCAGAGATTCATCTGAAATTCCCACTCAAAATAAGTAAATAAATATCATTTTCTTTTTTTTCTTTTTTTATTAAAAAAATAAAGAAGTGGTCATTGTGTGGCTCGGGCAGTGACTGACAGCCCATCTGGGCACAAAATAGAGAGAGATGCGTTGTTATTAGACAGACAGAATAAAGCAGGTGCAACATGTGAGGGGTGGGGGAGTCTTCCCACACATTAACAAGACTCTAATATATAATATCTCAGACTATTTAAACAGAATAATCCATCTACATATTTACACTCTATTGTGGTTTGATTCAAGTTGGGACCTTTCCCCTCTGCAGGCCCACACAACAGAAAAGCAACTAATTCAATCTGATCTTTAAATAACTGCAGACACACAGAGGCCTGCGCCATCAAACGTTTCCAGTAAGAAGATGAATTTCGTTGTGCTTTAGGAGCTCTGTGAAGAAACACCTGTTACAACTGAGGTTAATTACCATCAAACACTAAGTTAGTTGCAAACCCCCACAGTCTCATGAGGAAAATCAATGCATTGGTCTTTACTGGTTCCGTGAATGCAACAACGGATTCAGCAACAAAAGATAAATTAAAAGCGTAATAATGTAGGAAGAGAGTCTGTAACCCCAAAACAAGTTCGTTTCCATTCAGTCTGGAGTCACTTGGAGTCGCTGGCCAGCCGCGGCATGGTGACGGCGCTCATGCTGGACACATGCGGAGGCGGGACTTGGCACATGCTGCACGGACAAGGCATCCCGGTGCCAACGCCCCAGTGCTGGAAACTGCTGCCCAGCGGCCCTGCACCGGCTGCGGGAGCTTTGAGGAGTCCGTGATGGGGTCTGACCGAGGTGACGGCGGAGATGCCGGGCGCGGACAGAGAGGCGGTGGAGACGGCGGCCGGCGGGAGGAGCGGGTGGTGCACCGCCGGGTGTGAGGCGTGAGAGGCCGCCGGGTGTCCCGGCACGGGCCCCGCATGTGTCATAGTCCCACAGGCTGACGGGTGGAAGCCTCCGTGGTGTCCGCTGCTGCCGTAGATTTCGCTGACCAACCGCTTCATCTCCTCCAGCGAGTTGCTCAGCATCAGGATGTAGTTTCTCGCCAGCAGCAGGGTGGCGATTTTGGAGAGTTTGCGCACCGATGGTCCGTGCGCATAGGGCATGACCTCCCGGAGCCCGTCCATGGCCACGTTCAGGTCGTGCATCCTCTTCCTCTCGCGGCTGTTGATCTTGAGGCGGATGGTCTGCAGCTCGTTCTCTGACAGCAGTTTACGGTCTTTCTTGGACGCCATCCGGAGGGCGAGGGCGTCCTCCTCGGCGGCGGAGAGGCCGCGCAGGCCGGGGATGTCTGACGGAGAGTCGCTCTGTGTGGAGGACACGGCGCCAGAGAAGCCGTGCACGGACTTCTTCAGAGTGGACATGAAGATGTCGTCCACCTCGGGAGAGGATGGTCTGCTCGACACGCGGCTCGTATCAGAGTCCATGGTTCTGGTCCAGCACTGTGCTCTGAAGACAGACACAGAGAGAGAAAGTTCATTTAGTGAAACCCCAACGTCTCCCAAATCTCATCAAAGATAATCCACTTTTTTCTGGTGTCACAACAACTGGTGATAAATTCTTGTGGTTTCATCAGTTGAGTTTAAAAGTAGGCTACAGACAATTTCTAACTTTGGATTCAATTTATCCTGAATGCACCTTCATATGTAAACACGACTTACAAGGACATTTCTGGCAAATTTGCTTGATCATTTTTTAAATCCTTCTACTGATATTGGATCATCAGATAAGAGGTCAGTTATCAGTGAGTTCCCACACGTCTCTTCCACACCGTTTTTCTGCTTCACAAATAAAGTCTGGTAAAAACAAAAATCTGTGCAAAATACCTCTAATTACTAAAGTAATAAATCACTTACCGAGTGTTTCCAAGCGCGACGGTGAGAAAGCCTAAATGTCAAATCCACTTGTTACTCCAAACCGCATGTGACAGCCCATTTGGCACGGCTGCGTGTGACCGCAGGGTTTTATAGCGGGCTGAGGCGCACAGAGGCCGCCTCACCAGGACAACGCAGTGTCTGTCCCGGCTGCCACCCTGCGACCAATCAGCTCTGCGTAGGGAGGAGGGAGGATGATGGGAGGTGGGGGGGAGGGAGGGAGGGAAGGGGTCTGACGGAGGGTCCTCCAGCCTGATGTAATTACCAACACACAGCATCACTATTAAGTGAAATCAGACACACTTCCTCCTACATATGGCTCCTTCTTGTGGAAATGTTCGGCCCGCGTGTGCATGGATTTTATTATAATAACACATTAACATTTTCCTTTCAGGAGTTAATTGTAATTTGTTTGTTTTATTAAGAATCCGGAAACGATAATACAATAAATCAGACCTCATTTTATTTAATCATCTACATAAATTATTATTTTATTTTGTGTCAAAACCACAAACAAAGAATATATCTAAATAGGCTTACTTTTTTAATTTAATAAACCATAATATTTTATTAATCTACACAATATTCGCGCCATTATTTTAATCTGAAATTTGTTCCTCGTTTGTCTTTTTTTTTCTCTCTCTTTATTTTTGTCAGTAAACTCAATGGAGCATGAAATCACGTCCCTCCTCAAATGAACAGTACTAACGGGTCGAAGCCTCATAAGCAGCGCAATATGTTTCCTGCTTGCAGTTTTGGAGTAAATATGGTGTTTTCCGTTTTTACCCGCTGTCGACCAGCAGCTGCCGTTAAAGTGCATCTCCGACGTTAATTAATGAAGTGTGCAAAATTGTTTTTAACGGTTATGATCCGTAACATTTCAATTAGTCTGCAGAGAGCGATAGCAGTGTGGCCTGCTGCTGGCGCTCAGAGGGCCTCTGGCTGACATAAGGGCCCAGACCGGTGATGTGCTCCCGGACTAAGTGAAGCTGACAGCAGCTTTGTCCCGGAACACGACAAACTGTAATGTGCGTTCAGACGCAATCAGCTCTAATTGCCTCCACAAGTTTATCTGTTTTCATAGGACTGAGGTCGGAATATCAACTTCTCTGCATCTGCATTATGGATCAAAATTAAACTAATAATTGTTTTAGAAGGAGTATTTTAATATATACAATACAAGCCATCCAAAAAGGACCAAGTTTGATACCAGAAGATTTTCTGATTGACTTTCTTTAGGGTTTTTATTTCCCACCAAAGAGGGAGAAAGAGAAAACACACTGGGAACTGGGACACAGCACTGCTTTGTGATAGTGGGCAGGTGGGCAGGGCAAAAAAATAAATAAAATAAAATAAAAAAAGATTTTAAAAACAACAACAAAAAAACTGACTTTAGAAGACAGTGATGTGTTTTAACAATCAAATAATTTGAAAATTGTTTATTTATTCCTTCATCTAGTTTGTAGTTAGTTTTACTTAGTGTGCTGAATAAAGACTCTGTGCTGTTGCCATGGTTACCTGTAGTTTGGTAGGCCTATACCTTGCGGACTGATTTAGCAGGAGGGGGCGGGGGTCAAATTCGGTTTCAGCGGTCACCTGGCAGCCAATCAGCAACGAATATTTTCCGTTGCCGTAACCGTCAATCAGGTGGTGTCACCTCCACATCAGTCCGCCAACCAAGTGACAAAATCAAGTTCACACACACACACACACACACACACCTCGCTTTTCCCCCCCTAGTCGTTATATTTGCTTGTTTTCCCTCGTCCGTTGCGTTCGCGTGTTTACTCCCGTTAAATAAGATTATGGTAATGAGGGCGGTTAAAGTGGCATTTTAAATCAGCGGGTTTGTATCTGTGCCATCATTTGCTTCATTAGACATTCCCACAGTGTCACTGTTGCTCCGGACTCACAATCAGATACAGACAGACCTTCCTCCTCAGCTGGCTTCTTTTACATCATCATCATTGTTACCATAGGACTACAGTAGAAATTATTGACATCTATCAAAGGATTAAAGCTTTGTGACAGTCCCTCACAGGCTGGTACTGATAGGCTCATCACTTTCACAGGTTTAAAATAAAGTTTCTCAAGTTTTTGATTTTTTCTAATAGATTTCTGAAATTGTTGTTTAACAGCCTCTAAGGAACTCCAAGTGGATTATAAATTGTAACAGGCCACATCTGGAACTTTTATTATAAACCTATATCAAATGTATATAGGCTACTGTATGTCATCAGTCAGCCTACATCCTGCGGAGATGGGGTTCCTACCCAAGTTTGAGAAACTGATTAAGCTGTAGGTTAATGAGCAATTTATGCAGAACTGCTTTTACACATCATACCGAACTCACTGTGATTTCTTTTCTTTATGGTTCGTAAAAGAGAAATAAAAAAAATTAAAAAAAAAGGTGAATATCCTCAAATTTCAGAGAAAACTGAAAAAGGCCTATTTCAATTCCAAAATTCAAGGCCAGTTCACCACTGATGATGATGAGTGTATTTCAGCCCTGCATCCAGCAGTTTGCAGCATAGGCAGATCATGTTTAGTCATAAGCGATTTCCTTCTATGATATTTCCCAGATTGTTAGACAATAGCACTGGACAGACACAATAAATTCATTTCAAAGCAGACTTCAGTATGATACAAACTCACTGTGTGATCTGTGGCAGGCAAGAACATTTCCTGAATCGAGCCTAGCAGTATTTTATATGTTCTCTTCAAGAAATAAATATCTACAACATAAGCCTGTTGCTTTAACGGCCTCCACTCTTTTGATTTCAGGATTCTTACCAGAACGTGGCTGCAGTCAGGCACCACCACAAGAGCTTTACTGAGGTCCAGCACTGATGTTGGGCGATAAGGTCTGGCTCGCAGTTGGTGTTCAGGTTCATCCCAAAGGTTCTGGATGGGGTCGAGGTTCAGGCTCTGTGCAGACCAGCCAACTTCCTCTACACCAAACTGGAAAATCCATGTCTTTATGGGCCTGTTGTTGTGCTCTGTCACATAGAAACAAACTGTTGACTCAACTTGGAAGCACACAGTAACATTATATGCAGTAGTATTATCATTTCAATTGACTGGAATAGGAAGTGGCCTAAAACCAAAACTTGAGGGGGGGGGGGCTAAACCAAAAAGTACACACAAGTATATGGACATTTCCTATTTTCTTCCAACTTTGACTCTCACCACCATCATCATCCTTCCTTCTGTCCCTCTCTCTCTCTCTCTGTCTCTCTGTCCACCAGTCTGGGTGGCGGTAGGCCTAGTGCCGTGGTGAATACCAATAGTGAGGAGGAGCATATGCGAGCCATACTTAATCCTGCTAATCTGCCTCCAAAATAAAAAAGAAAGGGAACAAAAAAAAAAAAAAAAACAGAAAAGAGAGGAGGGGGGAAAAACACGAGAGAAGTTTTCTCTTTCTGTCTGGGGAGCTGACCGGCCTCGGCCAAATGAACTGAAAGACATGAATAACGTCCTGGCTCTCCCCCTCCATCCCTTTCTCTGAGAAATCTTGGAACGAAATGAAGCAAAATTCTCCCTTTTGTTGAAATCTGTAGTGAGGAACGTGAGATGCTGGCTGCTGCCGCCACCACTGCTGTTACTGTGCTGGTGTGTGTGTTTGTGTGCAACCTTGTCTCCCAGTTAGATTCACATGTAGCTCTCTTGCATTAGAGATTTACCGGACATTTAATGGCAGAGTTAAGTGCCAGAAGGAAGTGGAGTGAAATTCTGAAAATATTGCAGATCTGAATCTTCTCTATGATCCTCAGAAGAAAACACAGATGAAGGAAGCCAATGTGTTTCCACAAAAACATATTTTTCCAATGCAAACTAGCTGAATAAGCATGCCATTTGTGGGAGACAGTGTGTGTGTGTGTGTGTGTGTGTGTTTTCCTAACTCCAGTGCCTCAGGTGTCAAATTCAAAAACACAAATATGAGAGGAAACATTTCCAACCGAGGCCAGTTTACATCTACAAACATGCACAAACAGAAAAACGTCAGTTTTGAGAACACAAACTAAATCCAAGAATATCTAATTCAGAAAAACAGTCACCACAGGACAACAACCAATCATTTAATGAGAGGACGGTGACCAGAGGAATGTAATAATTACCTCAGTCATCAAAGAAGGGAACTAAATTTCTTCTGAGCCCAGAGAGGTGTAGAATTTGAAGATTCACTCTGGGATCACTCTCTCTGTTCAACAGCAACAGATAAAGTCATCTTGTTCAATATTTGATGACAAAATCCTTCTCTGGTGAAGCTCTGTCAGGCTTCCTGCTTGTTTCTGGGGCCTCTTGTCCTGTCTGGTCTTCACCAGGTGAAACACATGATCAGTCGGATTGAGGTCATGTGACTGACGTGGCCAATCAAGTACAGGCTACTCCAAAAACTCAGATTTTTCATCTGTATGCTTACAATCATTGCCCTGCTGTACAAACTGTATAAAAGGCCACAGAGGCCCCTTTAAATCAGCACTTTAAGGCCATTGTTTAATTTTGAATCAAACGTGCTGGAGAGCCAAAACAATGACAAATCAATTGTTTTCCTATTTACTTACAGGCCTCCCTTTATAGGTTGACAGACGCTGGTGACCATGTAGCCTGTGCTTTACACACGTATAGGCTGCAACAACTTGTCCAAATGAAGGATGTGCTGAGCTGCTGATTTACCTAGAGGCGACATATGGGTGTTTTTTTTCAATATGTCATTCTTCATGCTTATGTCCCAGTAAATCATTATAGATGGTAGAGAGTTCCTTTGCGTAGGTCTCATTCACAATGAAAAGCACTTTCCCGGCTTTTTGAATCTATATGTGTAAACTGTTAAAACACTAATATCAGCATGCTGATATGTTAACATGCAGATGTCAGTAGGTATAATGCTTAGCCTGTTCAGCATCTTAGCGTGTTAGCATGCTAACAATAAGCCTGTAGCACTAAATAGGAAGTACAGCTGAGGTTGATGGGAATCTCTTTAATTTTATTTGGTTCTGAAAATTAAAATATTTGACAAATTAAAATTTTAACCTGATGATGAATCAAGAG